GAAACTATTCGTTGCTTTTCTTTTTTTTTCAAAATTGAAAATATTTATTCTGAAATTCTGAAATACTGAAATGAAGAAATTCTGAAATGAAGAAATTCTGAAATGAAGAAATTCAGAAGTTGTGAAATTCAGAAATTTAGAAATTCAGAAATTTTGAGATTATGAGATTCTGAATTTCCGAAAATCTGAAATTCTGAAATTCTAAAATTCAGAAATTCTGAGATTCAGAAATTCGGAAATTCAGAAATTTAGAAATTCAGAAATTCAGAAATTCAGAAATTCGGAAATTCAGAAACTCAGAAATTAAGAAATTCAGAAACTCTGAAATTCAGAAATTCAGAAATTCAAAAATTCTGAGATTCTGAGGTTCTGAGATTCTGAAGTTCTGAAATTCAGAAATTCTGAGATTCTGAGATCCCGAAACTCCGATATTCCAAAATTCTGAAATATTAGAATTCTGAGATTCCGAGATTTTTAGATTCCTAAATTCTTCCATGAAGCTGATATACTCGAAATTATTTTTTTAAAAATTCCAAAAATCTGAAAAAATTCGAAAACCAACAATTTTAAAATGTTCAATTTCTTCAAAATGAAAGTTTCAAATCTATTGTACTTTAAAAATCTCATTTTAGTCTATTTCTCTATTTTTCCCATTGTTATACGGTCCACATTGCGGACTTTTCCCCCTCCCCTTCCCCCCTACTATCATTTTTGGCGCCAAAATTTTCCTTTCAAATTCCTTCCCCCTTTTCTCCGAAATTTTCCCAAAAAATCTTAAAAATGTATCTAACTATAAATAACGAAAAAGTACTATTTTTACGCATCATCAATTTCTTTTTTTTTCGTGTTTTTTGTATCTTTTCTGATGCCTATCTTCTTCTTTTTTTTCTTTTTTTTTTGAATGGAAGGTTACAATAAATCTTCTTTATTGAAAATGAGAGAGATGGAGAATTAGAGAAAAAAAGAAGGAAAAAACTGAATTTTCACTTTCAACCCGAACCGAGAAAAATTGAAATATCAAGAGTGGCATTGAGAGAAAAAACCGAGAGACTTGTTATTAATTTTTCCTTTTTTTTTGAATGATGATGATGTTAAACGACAAGTGGTTAGGAAACAGAATAATAGTCAATTAAAATTGAAATTTCTTCTTCTTTTTTTTGGAAAATTTCAGTGGTTGAACGATTGAAAAATTTTCCAATTCCTTTAATATTTCTTTGAAAATTCCAAATTTCCCATTTTTGGGTTCTTTTTTTTCAATTTTTGGATTCCTCAAATTTTTTTTAGAATACTCGCATTTTCGAAGTTTAAAATTTTTTGAAATATCTTCCCTTCTAAAATTGATATTTAAGAATTGTTTTGAATTTTTTTTCACTTTTTTAGGATTATAGAATTTTGAAATTTTGAATTTCTTGGATTTTTGAATTTTTCAGATTTTCGATTTTTTGAATTCTCAAACTTTTTTTTGGCAATTTCGATTTTTTCCTCGAATTTTTAAATTTCTGAAAATTTTGCAACTTTCGAAATTTCGAAATTCAGAGATTCTGAGTTTTTGAGGCATCTGAGATTCTGAGGCATCTGAGATTCTGAGATTCTGAGGAATCTGAGATTCTGAGATTCTGAGATTCTGAGGCAACTGAGATTCTGAGATTCTGAGATTCTGAGATTCTGAGATTCTAAGATTCTGAGATTCTGAGATTCTGAGATTCTAAGATTCTGAGATTCCGAGATTCTGAGATCCTGAGATTCTGAGATTCTGAGATCCTGAGATTTTGAGATTCTGAGATTCTGAAATTCTAAAATTCAAAGATTCAAAGATTCTTAGATTCTAAGATTCTAGGACTCTTATATTTTTGAGTTTTTGAGACTGAGTTTTTTGAATTTTCGAAGTTCTGCAAAAACTGCAATTTTCCTATTTTTGTAGGATTTTTCCATTTTTTCAATTCCCTATGATTCATTTTCTCTAGCTCTTTTTTTTTGTTCTCTAAATCTCTCTGCCTCCTCATTTCCCAAATTTTCGAAATTACTCTTTTCCATCACAGTCTGTGGTTTCATTTTTCACAAAAAAAAGAAATCTTTCAATTAACTTTCCTTCTTTCTCCCTCCAAAAATTTGATTTTTCATCAAACCGATTTTTAGTTTTGTACATCATCATTCTTCTAGTTTTTGCGAGATTTCAAATTTCGAAATTCCCGCCGAAACTAATTATCCCAGAAAATTAGTTTCGGATTTCTGGATTTCTTTCAAAAGACACCAATTATTTATTTAGTTTCTATTCTTTTTCGAAGAAAGGACACAAGATTTCGAAATAAAAATTTCGAAATTTGTTCCGAAAATTTTTTTTGGTTTGTAATTTTTTTTTTCGATTGTTCTCAATACGCCCTCCTCCGTTCTAGACTGAGTCACCAGTCTTTTGATTTTTTTTCGAAATTTCGTTCTTTTTAAATTCGGTCCTAATTCTTCTCATCTGGTGCTCCTATAGTAGTGGTTTTTGCTAATTTTGAGTTTTCGATTTTTCTGAAGTCTCGCATTGAAATCAGGCTAAGTTTTGGTGGAAAATAGCTGAAAAAAAATACTTTTTTTCTGATTGATTTTTTGGAAACCGAATTTTAAGAAAATCTTATAACGTCTTGGGAGATTCTGAGAACAATAATGTCGTGAGTGAGTGATTAAAGCTCCGCCCACTTTTTTGTCTAGGCGGGCCAGACCCAAATATTTTGGGCTGGAATATTCGAATTGATTTTTTTTTTATGTTTTCGGGAATTTTTTCATTTATGAGCTTCCGAGTATTTTTGAAATAGTTTTTAATTTTCCAATTTTATAACCTTTCCATTCATTTTTGTTATTTTTTTTTGTTATTTCTTGAAATCCTGAACAGAATTTCAGAATCTCAGAATCTCAGAATCTCAAAATCTCAGAATCTTGGAAGAACAGAGTCTCAGAATCTCAGAATCTTGGAAGTTCAGAATCTCAGAATCTCAAAATCTCAGAATCTTCAAATTCAAATGCATTCCAAAAACTGTATGTAATTCTGGCGCCAACCTTCTTCTCTCCCACATTCATCATTCAATGACAACACAACACACATCTGCATATGTACCATTCTCCCCCCCCCCCCCCTCTCTCTCTCTCTCTCTCTTTCTGTCTTTGCATAAGGAGAGAGAGAGAGAGCTCCTATAGTAGTGGTTTTTGCTAATTTTGAGTTTTCGATTTTTCTGAAGTCTCGCATTGAAATCAGGNTAAGNTTTGGTGGAAAATAGCTGAAAAAAAATACTTTTTTTCTGATTGATTTTTTGGAAACCGAATTTTAAGAAAATCTTATAACGTCTTGGGAGATTCTGAGAATCAAT